ATATATATATATATATATATATATATATATATATATATAGGTAAGGTCAATGAGGCTTTTAAATTTTTTTCTGTACTGTGACAATGTGGCATTTATATGATTCACAATCAATACAAACTTATTGTCTTTTACAGCCGAATTCAGATCGGCATCATGGAGGTAAGGTCTATTCGGGATTATTAAGAAGTGCAGAAACGACGTGTGCAATATGATATCATGCTGCTACTGCTAGCAGTGATCATCCTCGAAGAATAATTACAGAAAGGACAGAGCTTGAGCTTTGAGTCTTGTTTATTTATGTAGTTTAAAATTATAATCAATAAGTGGGGGTAAATATTTGATGTAGGAGGCTCTAATCAATTAGAAACAAATTTATTATATTCAATCCATGTTTGATAACCTAACAAATATGTATTTGGACCTAATAAATAGGTGCAAGCTTAAAAAGAGGTTTATAGTCCTCCCAAATGACCTATCTAAATAAAAAGCCCAAAACTTTTAGAAATAACCTAATAAATCTGTATTTGGATCTAAAGCCCAAAAAAAGGTTTAGTACTCGCAAATGACCTATCTAAATGAAAAGCCCGGGATCATTGGTGACTCAAATTTATTTGAAGATTTTCCAAGTCTGGTTCTATAGTGGTTCTATCAGATGAATTTGCACTCCTACTAGTTCAAACAATACAAAGCCATAATTAAAGGGCTTTTAAATAATGACTTTTTTTTAATTTTATATTTTGTTAGATGTGCTGACGCTGAATTAAAATGAAGAAATTTGCAACATTTTACTCCCTCATTTGTGACGTGGGAAAGTTTCTTTGCTATTTTTTGTATAATAATGTTTATTACATTGAGTCATTGAAAGTTCAGATTTTCAGTTTCTGAAGAGTTTTTAAAAGTTTAAATAGCGGAATATGACTTATAATCTATTGCTGGATTGAAGTTAGAATTTTTCTAGAAAAATCTAAAAGCCATATTTTATATTTAATTAAATTTTTATGATATATATTTTTTAAAAAGAGAATGAATTTATTCAATAACAAGATCAGAAAAACAAAAAGGCCTCAATATAGGCTCTCTTATATAAAAAAAACAAAGCCGTGTTTATGTTATTAAAATGGATTTGGAGACTTTGCACTTTGTATAAGTTTATAAAAATTGATTATTTCTTTGATGTACAACTTCTAAAAATTAATCTTCATTGTCTACGACTAACCCACTAAGAACTAGAAAAATATTATGTTCATTATTTAGATCAAGTTCATCATATCTTCATAAATCATTATAAATTCATGGTAGGAAATGGTAATTTAACATCTTTTTAGCTAGAATAGATTCATAACTACCCTCTCAAAATAGCTTTCTAGGCTATATCTTTTGTCTTTTTCTAAATCTACTTTAGTGGCTGACACGGATAGATGAAACGATGAAATCTAGCTTTGGTCCCTACAACAATAAAAATCTTTATTTTATTTTTAATAATAACAACTATACCTTTTATCACTCTCATTGGATTCCAAGTCTTTTTAATGCCACAAAATGAATAAGAAAATCTGGACTCTCAACAATAATAGCATTTTCAGTGTAAAATTTTAAATTAAAATAATGGATCAACTAAACTATCTTAATTTTTTATTTGGATAAAACTAACCCCACCAAAAGTACAACTTTTTCTCTAATTCCTTGTCCAAGACAAAGTAACCACAAGAAATTTTTTATTCCAGCATAACTACCTCATCTTTTAGAAATTAAGATACATTTTTTGCAATAGAAACTTAGAATCTTCAAGTCACCTTTTCATTCACCACCACTTAACTTGAAATATATGGATGAAACTATTTTCTAATTAGGGTTTTTACAATGTTTTTTCAAAATCTATTAACAATATATGCTATTAATGGTTAAAGACAAGCAGCAGAATCTCTCATTATGCTTCGTTTCTCATGTATTGTGTGAAATTTTTGAATAATGTCATTTTTAATTATGTTTTTGTAACCTTTAAATTTGTTTTTCTATTGTGTGCCAAAGTATTTTTTTTATGGATAAGTCTTAATTCCAACTCTCTAGTGCTTAATAGTAGGGAGGTGTTGCACTCCTTTGTTTCATGCAATAACTTTTGTATTTTTTTTTTATTTTTTTTATTTGTTCATCTAATATAAATTAAGGTATTATTCTTGTAGCTATTTTTCTTAGTAAAACTTTAAACTATTTCAAAAAAAATTAAAAATGCTCAGGATTGAAGTACATTAAAATCATAAAAAGAAGAGAAAATACAAATGGATTAAATATTTATCACAATTGAAGGATAGGGCACGCAACAAGATCATCAGGAAAACAAGAAACGAAAAGAGCAAATATTGCTCAGGATTTTAAGAACATTGAAATCACAAAAGGAAAAGAAAATACAAGGGGGTTAAATATTTATCACAATTGAATGATAGAGCACACCGTTTGTGTTACAGCGAGTAAAAGGAGAAAAGTAGCAGCAAAAACGGAGATGCCGGTCCATGGATTGTTGAAGTAAACCTGCTTCAAGTTTGCCTTCCACTTGTACCTACGCCTTCTGCAATGTAAATTCAGCTCTTCGCAGAGACCCGGAAGAAAACTTTCTGAAGAGATAACATTTTCTATGATAAGATTGTGAAAAAGATTCGACACTGCTTCGTTACTGCTTAGCATATTTTTCAAATTCTCATTCTGAGCAAGTACTTCCACATCTTTCGTAGCACTGACGAGGCAGCTGATGAAAGTAATATAGTCATTTACGAAAGTGTCCCCGTACACATGATGACATTGCTCAAAGGCCTGGAGATTTCTGAATAAGATTTCTATCACATCATATATTTTTAGTTGTGGAATTTCTAGAATCCCATTACTGAATCTTATGTCTAATAATGAGCTTTTTTCGGGACGATTAAACTTCACTCCAGATTGATGGAGCTCCGTCGCAGTGGGTGCGCTTAAATAAGCTTCTTCTTTCGCTGGACAGTGCTTCTCTGTTGGTTCCTGACACTTTCTTAGGAAGTCAACGAAATGCAGGACTCCAGATGAATCTATTATTTTCCAACTGTCCTCTTTTACCCAGTTAACCCATTGACCTTTTGATAACCCACATGTAAGTTCAGTAAGGGGGCAATTCTCAGGATTGGAAGCTACACTGGATAGCTGAAACAACTTCTCAAGGATGAAGAATGGAAGCTGATTTTCAAGCAAGCTCATATCAAACATTACGTCCATTATCTTAAATGGACGATAGAAAATGTGGTCACCACGTCTATTGCCATAAAACCCTCTAAAGTACTTCATGTTTAGTAAGACCATAATAATGAAGACAGCATCCAGTAAAATCATTGTTGCGAAGTGTTAGGAGATCCAAACATTCAAACACACACAAATTTACGTGGTTCGGCAACTTGCCTACTCCACGGAGCTACTGGTTTGTATTAATCAAGCTCAAAAGCAATACAAACAACAAAACAAGGAGGAGGAGAAAACTTCTCAACTCAACTCAACTCTCACCCTTAGCTCTCTCTCTGTGTTTCTCTCTATCTCGTAGTGCTCATCAGCTATCAATGGCACTCTCTATTTATAGCTGATGTGGGAGACAAGTTTCTTCTTTAGTCAACAATGGTGGGCAACAATTTCTTTGGTTAGGCACCCACCATGCAACCACCATTGACTTTAGCCATGTCTAACATGGCTGCCACCAACCATGTTGTGTCCACACCCAACAATCTCCTACTTGGACACAAATGGCGCTAGATCTGTTTTTTAATCTTTAAGTCCAACTGAAGCTTTACACAGCTTCAGTTTATCAAGAGTGACTCCTTTGGTTAACATGTTAGCTGGATTCTTGCTTCCACAGATCTTTTCAAGTAACAGTTGTTCATCGTCGAGCAGTTGCCGGATGAAGTGATATTTGATCTGTATGTGCTTTGTTCTGGAGTGAAATGCTGGATTCTTGGCAAGGAAGATTGCACTCTGACTGTCACTATACAAAGTACCCTTTCCATGCATCTTGCCCAATTCTTGCAGGAAACTCTGTAGCCATACTATCTCTTTTGCGGACTCTGAAACTGCAACATATTCAGCTTCTGTCGTTGAAAGAGCAACTATCTTTTGCAAGGTAGAACTCCAAGAAACAGCAGTGCCTCCTAGAGTGTATATATAACCTGTAGTACTCTTTCTGCTATCAACATCTCCTGCTAGATCAGCATCTACAAAGCCTTCAAGTTTCAAATCGCCAGCTGTGAAAATAAGACATGTCTCCGATGAGCCTTTTAAGTACCTCATGATCCATTTCACTGCCTCCCAATGCTGCTTTCCAGGATTGCTCATATATCGGCTTACAACTCCCACTGCATGGGCAATATCTGGTCTAGTACAGACCATGGCATACATCAAGGAGCCGATAGCTGAGGCGTATGGGATCTGGTCCATGTATCCACGTTCTAGCTCAGTTTTTGGTGACTGGTCTTTACTGAGCTTGAAATGATTCCCCAGAGGTGTACATACTGGCTTAGCATTATCCATACTAAACCTGTTGAGAACCTTCTTGACATACTCTGCCTGTGAAAGCTTTAGTATGCCTTTGTCTTTGTCTCTGATGATTCTCATGCCAAGTATTTGTTTAGCAGCTCTCAGATCCTTCATTTCAAACTGTTTTGACAACTGTTGCTTTAGCTTGTCAATCTCTTCCATGCTGGAACCTGCAATTAACATATCATCCACATATAGCAGTAGAATGATATAGGAGTTGTCAAAATGTTTGACATAGCAACAATGATCAGCCTGACATTTTGTGTATCCCGTACTACTCATGAAGTTATCAAACTTCTTGTACCACTGTCTTGGAGCTTGCTTCAAACCATATAGACTCTTCTTTAGTTTGCAAACTTGACTCTCCTTTCCTGGTATTGCAAACCCCTCTAGTTGTTGCATGTAAATGTCTTCCTCCAATTCTCCATGAAGAAATGCTGTTTTTACATCTAATTGTTCAAGATGTAAATTTTCTGCAGCTACTATCCCCAGAACAACTCTGATTGTTGTAAGCTTCACAACTGGAGAAAATATCTCAGAATAGTCGATCCCCTTCTTTTGCTGAAACCCTTTTACAACAAGTCTTGCTTTGAACCGTTTGCTTCCGTCATGCTCGGTCTTTACTCTGTAAACCCACTTGTTTTGCAGGGCCTTCTTTCCTTCAGGCAGTTTGGTTAACTCCCAAGTCTTGTTCTTCAGCAATGACTCCATCTCATCCTTCATGGCTAACTCCCACTTGCTCGAGTTTCCATCTTGTAAGGATTCTTCATAATTTAATGGTTCACCACCATCGGTCAGCAAGATATAATTCAGTAGAAGTGTGAACCGTTGTGGAGGCTTTATAGTCCTTGAAGACCTGCGAACAACTGGTTCACTTGGCTCTGCACTATCTTGTGTAGAAGTGGTGGGTACTGAAGTGCTTGAACTATCTTGTGTGGACTCTTGAGTGGTAACATCAGGAAGCCCTTCTAATTGTATGAATTCAGATTTCTGTGGACTCGTATCTGAATCAGTTATCTCTAGTTCTGTACTTGATTTGTCTTTGTACAAAACTTTCTCGTTGAAGATCACGTTCCTGCTTCTGATAATCTTCCTGTTCTGATCATCCCAAAACCGAAATCCAAATTCTTCATCTCCATAGCCAATAAAGAAACATTTCTTTGATTTGGCATCCAGCTTGTTGCGAGCATCAGAGTCTACATGTACATAGGAAACACACCCGAAGACTTTTAGGTGAGCAAGCTGTACTTCTTTTCCTCTCCAGACTTCCTTGGGCAGTCTGAACTCCAAAGGTACTGATGGTCCACGGTTGATCAAGTAAACTGCAGTATGAACTGCATCAGCCCAGAATGTTTGAGGTAGCCCAGAATGCAACCTCATGCTTCTAGCTCGTTCATTGATGGTCCGGTTCATCCGTTCAGCAATACCATTCTGTTGTGGTGTGCCTGGAACTGTCTTTTCCATTCTGATACCGTTGACAGCGCAATACTCCTTGAAACCTCCATCAATGTATTCTCCTCCATTATCAGATCGTAAGCATTTCAGCTTCAAACCTGATTCAGTCTCAACCATAGCCTTCCATTTCTTGAACGTGTCAAACACATCAGATTTATTTTTCAGAAAGTAGACCCATACCTTTCTGCTAAAGTCATCAATAAAAGTGACATAGTACCGAGAACCGCCAAGAGATGCTACTGGAGCTGGTCCCCATAAATCTGTGTGCACCAGTTCTAGTTTTCTTGGTCTTAAGGTCCTGCCAACCTTTAAGAAACTGAGCTTCTTCTGTTTTCCGAGAACACAGCTTTCACAAATGTCTAGATCAACATTTTTTAAATCTGGCAGCTTTCCCTTTGACTGAAGTATCTTCATCCCCTTTTGACTCATATGGCCGAGTCTACAATGCCATAGCTGCGCCTGATTTTCTGCTTTAGTAGAGGCAATTATATCTGCTGATCTTGTGGTCATATACAGGGTGCCGATTTTCTTTCCACGAGCCAAAACCATTGCTCCCTTTGATACCTTCCACATTCCTCCAGAGAAAAGGATTGAATGGCCACTATCATCAAGTTGTCCGACCGAGATCAACTTCTTCTTTAGTTCAGGAACATGCCTTACATTTTGCAAGTTCCATGTAGATCCATTCATTGTCTTGATTTGCACATCTCCTATACCCACAATCTCCAATGGTTGTCCATCGGCCAGATAGACTACCCCATAATTTCCAGCAGTGTAATTTTGCATCATTTCATGGTGTGGAGTACAGTGAAATGAAGCTCCAGAATCAAGAACCCAATCATCAATAGGACTATGTACAGCAAGAATCAAAGCATCTTGTACCTCGTCTGTAGTGGCGTTTGCAGAATCAGCTTCAGGTTTCTTTGGTTTTGTGCAACTCCTCATAAAATGGCCAGGTTTGCCACAATTCCAACATTCAACCTGCTTCCTGGGTCCAAACTTGCTTTTGCTTCTGTACCTGGATTTTGATCTTCCTCTGGATAAGCCTCTATCTTGTCTCCTTCCTCGAGTGTTGATGTTGAAAGCTGCACCTGAACTTGAGCTTTCACCTGAGTCTTTCCTTCGTACTTCTTCGGCTAAGATCAGGTCTCGGATATCATCATACTTTAATTTGGATTTTCCGGCTGAGTTGCTTACGGCTGTTCTCATACCTTCCCAACTGCTTGGAAGTGAAGCTAGCAAAATAAGTGCTCGGATCTCATCATCAAACTCAATTTCAACGGATGATAATTGATTTGTGATGGTGTTGAAATTATTAAGATGCTGTGTAACAGAGGTGCTTTCTGTCATCTTCAGGTTGAACAACTTCTTCATCAAGTGCACTTTGTTATTTGCTGATGGCTTCTCATACATCCCAGACAAGGCTTCCATCAATCTTGCTGTGGATTTCTCTTTTGTAACATTATGAGCAACTCTTCTTGACAATGATAGCTGGATAATGCCCAAGACTTGTCTATCAAGTATTTGTCAATCTTCTTCTGACATGTTTTCTGGCTTGCTCCCTAACAGAGGAAGATGAAGTTTCTTTCCATATAGATAATCTTCAATTTGCATTTTCCAATATCCAAAATCAGTTCCATCAAATTTTTCAATTCCTGCAGCCTTTATTTCATCAGCCATTTTTACTCTTTCTCAGATTTGAATTTCAAAAATCTGACCTTACAGATGTGTCCGGAATGGCCAAAAATGCTGGAAACGACACTGAGATCACCCAAATCGGACTTCGGATGGCTCCGATTTAAGCAATCAAAGTTTGGAATAGTCGCTGCGCCACACCGGATCAAAACCCAGTTATGCTGACGTGTCAGGATGACGTGTCACACACGTAGGCAATGTGGGGTCCACCGAATCTGACGTGGCAGACCCGCAGAGATTTTTTGGATGACGTGGCAGTGCTGACGTGGTGATGACGTGGCAGGGATGACGTGGCTGGTTGACCGGTCAGACGACTGACGTGGCAGGGGCGCGCGTCTGCTGACTGTGCTGGACGGCTGACGTGGCTACTGACGTGGCAGTGTCGATTTGCAGGAATTGGCGAGGAAGACGCGTGACGCGCGTACGGCGCGTCTGTGCGCGTGGGCAGTCCTGGTGGTGGCGCGTGTAGGCGCGTGCGGGCATGCAGGACGTCGGATGTTCGCCGGGTTTTCACCAGTGGATTCCTCTCGTCGTCCTCTTCACGGTGGTATGTTCAAAAACACGTTTTGAGAACTTTGATTTTTGAGTTTGGATCAAACACCCTCTTTTTCAAGAACTTTCAAGAACAAGCTCTGATACCAGTTGTTAGGAGATCCAAACATTCAAACACACACAAATTTACGTGGTTCGGCAACTTGCCTACTCCACGGAGCTACTGGTTTGTATTAATCAAGCTCAAAAGCAATACAAACAACAAAACAAGGAGGAGGAGAAAACTTCTCAACTCAACTCAACTCTCACCCTTAGCTCTCTCTCTGTGTTTCTCTCTATCTCGTAGTGCTCATCAGCTATCAATGGCACTCTCTATTTATAGCTGATGTGGGAGACAAGTTTCTTCTTTAGTCAACAATGGTGGGCAACAATTTCTTTGGTTAGGCACCCACCATGCAACCACCATTGACTTTAGCCATGTCTAACATGGCTGCCACCAACCATGTTGTGTCCACACCCAACACGAAGTCTTTCTTACTAAGATCAATGGTCTCTGCATAACAATCACGTAATTTTGTTTCATTTTCCTTGATAATGTTAATTAAATCCTCCACACTTACCTTGTTCTGTTCAAGAAACTGCTGCAGGTACATTATTTTGTGGTCTTCCATAGCTTTTAGGTTTTCCTTACCATGGTGAAGAGGGCCTATTGAGACTACTCGAGGTGTATATGCATTTTCATTTAACTTTCGCAATCGTTCCGGGACTCTGTAGATGCAGCATGCTAGGGAGAAAGCCTTCTTGATTTTTAATTGCTCCCTTAAAGAAATAGCTAACTCATTGACATCAAGTGAAACTTCATGGCTCTGATCCTTTATCTGTTGATCACTACTTGACGTTCCACCAATTTCCATCCTGTGATTGAACTCAGATAATCGCTTGCTCTGTTCATAACCAGCACGTGTATAATATCACCAAACCATGAAAAAACATATCCTGAAAACGCAGATATTTTTCATGTCTTTTCACATGTTCACACAAATAGCAATATAATGGCTAAACGCAGATATTTTTCATGGACACTTGGCTCACTTAAATTATATTGGTATCAAAATGTACCTTCTTATGGGAAGCAAATCAATGGCGGACCAACTTCTCGTTAGCAAGCCCACAAAAAACAAGGAAAAAAAAAACACCTTTCCATGAAAAAGCCCACAGGAAAATGAATGGCTTTCTAACAAAAAAAAAAATGTATGTTGAACAACCACTTGAAACATTTACACTTTGACCACACCACACATGTAACTATCAACTAATTAATCCTTAATTAATCACCACATACGACACATGTAACTATCATATAGTTGTGGGTAATTATCAAATTAAGATTTATAAGTAAAAAAAGATAGTAACATCTATAGGTGTCAAATGAATCTCTATTTAATTCTAAATAATAAACTAAAATTGTGATCCAATATATAGTTTGACCTTTTTTTTTTATAATTCCAAATAAAAAATTCTGTCAAAAATAGTTTTCATAATAGAAAAGAATATCAACATTATTTGCACATTTCTTTATCATATATTTTTTTTCTAATGACAAAATATCATTTTACATTAAAGAAACGCCAAAAATATATGTTTTGGTTTCTCTTCGTACCCATACCAGATTTTATTTTTTTTCAGAAGAATAAAGTTAGGAGGAGAAATTAACTCCTAATTTTTTACTTATTCTTAATTTTTTACATGAACAGATCGAAGGAGAATCTTGGTTAGCAATGTGAAGGTGACAATTGATCTTGGTTGGCAATGTGAAGGTGACAATTGCTTGGTCCCCGGCCCTTTTATGATCTCTGGAGAGGTGAATAATGATGGAGGGCCCATCATTCAAGAGTGTGGAAATCGTTTTTACTGTTGTTGAAAAGGAAAACTCACGAATCATTAATTATTTATTGATTCAACCAATTGATGGATTGGCAGGAATGATAAATGTCTCATAAATGTATGCATTTGTTTGAATGTCCGCGTCTGAAAAGGTTGGCAATATAGATAGATGTTACTATCTTTTTTTTTACTTATAAATCTTAATTTGATAATAATGCATCAAGCAGCTACATGGTAGTTACATGCGTGGCATGTGGTGATTAAGGATTAATTAGTTGATAGTTACATGTGTGGTTTGGTACTTTGGTCGAAGCGTGAATGCTACCACATAGATTGATTTGTAAAATATTTTATATCTCATTAAATATTCTACGTATAATAGACATCTTTTTTTTAATATGATTGAAGCATATTTTGATGGCTATATAAAAGCAGTTCTACTAATAACAACTTCGTATTTTTAATAAAAATTTCATGATTATATCTCTATAATCTTTTGTGTAAAGTATTTAATTTTATTCATGAACTTTATCTTTAATCTAAATTTATTTATCTAATATTAAATTCATAAATTAAATATAAATAAATATTGAAAATAAAAAATGTTTTTATTAATAAAATTAAATATGTTTACATTATTAAAATTAAAATATCATTTTACATTAAATCAATTAAAGATATCAAATATATGTTTCGGTTTCCCTATCTACACCAAATGTTCTTCAAAAAATAAGGTACTAAATGTTTTAGGAAGACAAACTCTTAGAATTTTTTTTTCTTAACTGTTTAAGATCTAAGCCACAAAACACCGCATGTCTGTGGCAGTAGCTGGAATGATAATATTTTATTTTATCTTATAAAATAAACTTTGAGAAATCATGTAGCGGATTGCTCCCTTCTAATTTTTCCCACCATTGAATAAGGGCCAGGCCGTCTGACCTGTTCTGTGAGGTGCCATGAATAAGAGAACAAAAGAGAAGGGACAGCTGCAAACCTAAGGCTGTTTATACATGGAACAAAAGACAGGGCAGATGAATACAAGAATCCATTTATTCATTTGTATCCCATGCAACCATGCCCCACATGGAAGGATTCTTGAAGAAATTTCTAAGCAATTATTTGTGTTATTTTTTATTCATTAACTGTACTTAACATGAAATTTTTTTATTGAAATCCAAACATTCTGAAATTTAAATTTAAATTAAAAAATTATTTTAAAAAAACCTACATAAAATTTCAATTTAATATAACGATCACATTAAAAGTTATTTATTACAGTAGCGTAAAATTAGCTAGTTTGTAATTTTTCTTTAAAAATTCAAATTTTTTTTATTTAATTCTTGTATAAATCATATAAATTATTTTACTCAACTATCAAGATTATTTTCTTATTTCAAATATCTTTATTTTGTATTTTTACAATTTATTTTCTTCACAAACTTATTATTATTCCCCGGCAATGTTGTTGATTTTAAAGCCGTGCTTAAAATACAATTCTTTCTTAATTTTTCTTTTCATTATAATTCCTTGGAACTGTTTTCTCATGCTCGTTACATATTTATTTCAAATTTTTCATACAATATTAATTTAATTAATCGTTTATTTTTTTTTTTCATAAGGGTTTACAACAATCTAAATTAATATGCATTTAATTAACAATCATCAACCCTAACCTACAAGTTGCAAAACATTGAAAGGAACACTATCCTTGAAGGCTGAAGGACTTAAATTTTCTCTGTGTATGTGCTCAATTATATAAGGCCCAAGAAACCTGATTTCACACAGGGTTAATTGTAAAGGAAAGTGAAGCAAATATTGTTTCTGGCAATATTTGCCGAGAAGCAAAATATGGTTTGATTTGCAGGCAAATATATTTTTAATTCATGATCCTGCCCGTTATGTCGATGAGACTCAGTTTCAATAGTTAATAAAGCTTTGTTCGTTTACAGTTCCGTTGTTCTCATCCTTTATAGAATGATGTTCTGTCTTATCTGACAAATTATACATAGATTGTTTTACACCTATAAAGAGTGGTCTTAGCAGGGATGGATCATGACCTTATAGGAACTGTGATTCCCAGGTTAGTGTAGCTCTTGGGATTTTAGCCCAGATCATTGAGAAAAGAAAAACTGGAAAGTGGGCTAACTGTTGCCATCTAAATTTACAAGGCGCAATCTTTGCCCAAATAAAAATCCTCAACCCTGCTTAAAATCATGGTTCAAGTGGAGGCCTGAACCTTTTATCATTTAGCAGTATTGTTTCTGACATGGCTTTCCACGAAGCAAATAAAAAGAAAATAAAAAGAAAGAAAGACAATATTAGAAGACAAGAAAAGTAAAAGGAATAGCCATCAAAACGAAGCACAAGGGAGATTAATAAAAGGCATAGCCATCAAAATCAAGGGTGCATCATGACCTTATAGGGACAGTGATTCCCAGGATAGAGTGGCGTTTTTTAAATTCCCAAGTTCTATTGCCTTGGGAGGGAGATTAATTTTATTCAGCAACAAGATCTGGAAAACAAGAAATGAAGGAAGATTAATTTATGATTTTAAGTACATTGCAATCATAAAAAGAAATAAAAGTACAAAGGGGTTAAATATTTATGGCAATTGAATGATAGAGCACACTGTTTGTATGACAGTAAGAATAAGGAGAAAAGTAGCGGCAAGAACAGAGATGCCAGTCCATGGATTGTTGAAATAAACCTGCTTCAAGGTTGCCATCCACTTGTGCCTACGCTTTCTGCAATATGACTTCAGATCTTCGCCGACACCCGAAAGAAAACCATCAATAACGACAACATTTTCTTGGTCAAGTTTGTAAAGAAGATTTGACAGTGCTTCGTCATTGTTTAGCATATTTTTCAAATTCCCTTTACGAACAAGTACTTCTACATCATTAGGAGACCTGACGAGGCAGCTGATGAAAGTAATATAGTTACTTACGAAAGTATTCATATACCTATGATGGCATTGCTCAAAGGCCTGGAGATTTCTGAATAAAATTTCTGTGTTGTCTTCTATTTTTAGCTGTGGAATTTCCAGAATCCCATTACTGAATGTTATGTCTAATAATGAGCCTTCTTTTGTATTCTTAAACTTCATGCCAGATTGATGGAGCTCCGTTGCTGTTGGTGGGCCAAAAGAGGCATTTTCTTTAGCTGGACAGCGCTGTTCCTTTGGCTGCTGACACTTTCTTAGGAAGTCAACGAAATGCAGGACGTCTCTAGAGGAATTGATCATTTGCGAATTGCCCTCGTTTACCCAGTCACCCCACGGTACTTCTAATAACCCACGAGTAAGCTCAGTAAGGGTACAATTCTCAGGATTGGCAGCTACACTGGATAGCTCCAAAAACTTCTCGAGGATGAAGAATGGAAGCTGATTTTCAAGCAAGCACATATCATACGCTACGTCAGAGAACTTATATGGAGGATAGAAAATGTGGTCTCGACGTCCACTGTCATAATGCTCGTGCATGTACTTGTAGTTCAGTAAGACCATAATAATGAAGACAGCATCCAGTAAGATCATTGTTGCGAAGTCTTTCCTACTAAGACTAATGGTCTCTGCATAACAATCACGTAATGCTGTTTCATTCTCCTTGATAACATAAACTAAGTCCTCCACACTTACTAATAAATTCTGTTCGAGAAATTGTTGCAGGTACATTATTTTGTGGTCTTCCATGGCTTTTAGATTTTCCTTACCATGGTGAATAGGGCCTATTGAGACTACTCGAGGTGTGTATGCCTTTTCATTTAACTTCCGCAATCGTTCGGGGACTCTATAGATGCAGCGTACCGGGGAGAAAGCCTTCTTGATCTTCAATTGCTCCCTCAAAGAATTGGCTAACTCATTGATGTCAAGTGAAACTTCATCGCTCTGATCCATTATCTGCTGATCAGTACTTGATGTTACAACAATTTCCATCCTGTGATTGAACTGATACAATCGCTGGTGTTTAGAAACAGCATGTATAGACTAACACTAAATCATGAAAAAAAATATTCTGAAAACAACCACAATAATAGTTTGCATGAAATCAATCTTAATTTGTGGTTATTTCTATCTGTGTTAGTTTTCAAGGGGTTTCTAGTGACAAGCTTTTTACTCATGTTTTATTATGGAATGCAAAGTAGTGGTGTCTTGCTGTAAAATAAAAGGGTAAGCTTCAATTATTTTCCTTGTAATAGATTCATTAATATTCTACTTCTATTCCTACTCTTAAAGTTTTCATAAAATCCTGTTACTATTACTCTTAACTATGAAATATCTAATTCATTTTAATTTTGGTTTTTCAGTTTTTTAGGTTTCGGATTTTTGTTGTAAGATACTATGACATGCATAAAGACTTGAGAGGAAATAATAAGAGGAAAATTAAATACACACACACACACACACAATATGAAGTGCATCAGATTATCACACAGTTATTTAGTAGTAAATAAACTATCAGGATAGAAGTGAAAACGTTGGATAATTTTAAACTATAGGGATAGAGACTTACAGGCAGTTATAGAAGTTTTGCTCGTTGTCAACCTGCCTCCAGCGTCCAAAAAGATCTGCCAAGAATGGTACTAGACTCTCCCTCTTTAATATGAAAATTCCAAAATGTTCTATTGTTCCTTTACAATTGCTACAATGGCAAGCAAAGGATAAGATTCCCAAACACTTGTTTGAATAGAATTAAAATGCTACCGGAATTAGAATTCTGACTGATTTGATCTTTCTGTTCAAATTCAAGTCGGCATTTTCAGCAAGAAGAAGAGTACTAGTACTATACTCTCTTGAAGAGCACATTGCTTAATCTAGAGTACTCTTGTCAACATATTAGAATTTCAGGCTTGAAGTCTTAGATTACAATAAATGTTAAAAATTACAGGGAATATTCAGCAATATAATATATATTCTCAGCCCTCGTTTCAAGTATAGGATATAGCAAATGCATCAAAGGTGGAAGCATTTTCTACAGTGGCTTTAAAGCATTTCAATTAGAGTACTCTTGTCAACATATTAGAATTTCAGGCTTGAAGTCTTAGATTACAATAAATGTTAAAAATTACCGGGAATATTCAGCAATATAATATATATTCTCAGCCCTCGTTTCAAGTATAGGATATAGCAAATGCATCAAAGGTGGAAGCATTTTCTACAGTGGCTTTAAAGCATTTCAATTAGAGTACTCTTGTCAACATATTAGAATTTCAGGCTTGAAGTCTTAGATTACAATAAATGTTAAAAATTACCGGGAATATTCAGCAATATAATATATATTCTCAGCCCTCGTTTCAAGTATAGGATATAGCAAATGCATCAAAGGTGGAAGCATTTTCTACAGTGGCTTTAAAGCATTTCAATTAGAGTACTCTTGTCAACATATTAGAATTTCAGGCTTGAAGTCTTAGATTACAATAAATGTTAAAAATTACTGGGAATATTCAGCAATATAGTATATATTCTCAGCCCTCGTTTCACGTATAGGATATAGCAAATGCATCAAAGGTGTAAGCATTTTCTACAGTGGCTTTCAAGCATTTCAATTAGAGTACTCTTGTCAACATATTAGAATTTCAGGCTTGAAGTCTTAGATTACAATAAATGTTAAAAATTACAGGGAATATTCAGCAATATAGTATATATTCTCAGCCCTCATTTCAAGTATAGGATATAACAAATGCATCAAAGGTGTAAGCATTTTCTACAGTGGCTTTCAAGCATTTCAATTAGAGTACTCTTGTCAACATATTAGAATTTCAGGCTTGAAGTCTTAGATTACAATAAATGTTAAAAATTACAGGGAATATTCAGCAATATAGTATATATTCTCAGCCCTCATTTCAAGTATAGGATATAACAAATGCATGAAAGGTGGAAGCATATTCTACAGTGGCTTTCAAGCATTTCAATTAGAGTGCTCTTATCAACATATTAGAATTTCAGGCTTGAAGTCTTAGATTACAATAAATGTTAAAAATTACAGGGAATATTCACCAATATAATATATATTCTCAGCCCTCATTTCAAGTATACGATATAACAAATGCATGAAAGGTGGAAGCATATTCTACAGTGGCTTTCAAGCATTTCAATTAGAGTACTCTTGTCAACATATTAGAATTTCAGGCTTGAAGTCTTAGATTACAATAAATGTTAAAAATTACAGGGAATATTCACCAATATAATATATATTCTCAGCCCTCGTTGCAAGTATAGGATATAACAAATGTATCAAAGGTGGAAGCATTTTCTACCGTGGCTTTAAAGGATTTCAATTAAAATGGTTCGCACGTTAACACTATTCTATTATAAACCTCGTTTGAAGTACAGCATAAACAACACTCATGGCACATTATAGAGCATAATTTATTAAAAAATTTCTTGATGCTTTTTCGTTGAGAAATACAGCAGGTAAATTTAAGAAGCTAACAATGACTAGATAGTGAAGTACACAGAGTGGAAGTCATACGAAACAATTGAGATAGCATAATCAAACAACTTGAATGACCGAACACGCTGTCTGTATGATATGAGTATCACTAGAACAGCAGCTGCTACAACAGAGATTATAGTCCATGGATTACGGAAATACTTCTGTTTCAAGAATGCCTTCCATTTGTGTCCCCGCTTTCGGTAGTACTTGTTCAGATCTTCGAAGATCTAGAATTCAACTAAACCAGAAAAGTAGAAATTTTCGACGTTGATAAGATTTTCCATGGAAATATTGTGGAAAAGGATTGAAACTGCATGCATCGTTATCAGAGATCAAAGCTTGTGATGCACCCATAAAACGAAAACCCGTTAATTGAACTCCATTAGAAAGCAAGCCTTTCCTGATATCCTGATAATTAACACCTTCACTTATCACTCCTACTAAGCTATTCTCCATCCATGCAAGCTCCTCCTCTTCTGGATCATGTGTTATAACAAGTGAAGGCACTGGTTAAACAACTGAGACCGCATTAATAATATTATCTTGGATGACAAGGGCTACGTTTATATCCTCTGTTTGATTAACAGGGTATGCATTGCTTTGGAGTTGACGAGTGCTAGCTGAATCACTGCTGATTTTCCCTTCTCGCGCAACCATAGAATAACTTCTGCAGTCGCGCTCCCGGACTAGTACTGATACAAACTGAATATGCTTTTTTATCGGAATCCGATGCTGGGAATTTGTATTCCCCAGTTGAAACCGCTTCAAATTTGCACGTAGACAGTGAGACCCGAACCATATTCCATTAAGCTTTCCAAGGCGATCCTGTTGTTCAGAATCTGTTTGCATTGTAACAAAGCCAGGCCTCCAGTTTCTTCAGTTGTGTCGTCGTGAAATGTACATAACGATTACTACGCCATATTTGTTAAAAGTTCTGCGGAGGTTTTGATAATCTAACCAAGAGGTGAATCGCTCTAGGAAAATCTCAGTGGTGTATTAGGCAAGGTTGATGGTGACCGGGTAGTGGTTATTAGGATACTCACATATAAACCTAATAAAATAAAAGTTAAAGGATAGGATAAAAAAATAAATGAGACGCATAAGAATTTGCATAGTTCATTTAATTTGATTATATTCACGGGTAAATATAGAAGAATTTTATTAAGTAATGTAGGAATTATAATTTCTCTCTATTAATAAAAGAACAACTAAAATCTCTCTATTTCTAGAAGAAAATACCTTACTTACTCTTTATTCTCCTCTTCTTCTCTCTATCTTGGTGTGCATTTAAGGCTTGAATGCATTGCTTATTTATAGACAAGAATGAGAGGACAAATGTTATAAATCATGGCACCAATTATGCCATAAATTATACCAATAACTCATCTCTACTCATACTCCACCAATTATTCTAAAACTCCACTCATTTTTGTCTTCCACCAATTATGTGGATTTAATTAATTTAATTAAGTGGTGGCTTTACACTCTCTCACTTGAAGATTTCGATGATTTAATCAAGTCTTCACACTTCATCATTTGTTATTTTTCTATCCTCTCTATAATTGTCATCTTCATACTGCTTATATTTCTGCTAGACTACAAAAGGATCTGCACCATACATACTTATCAGAGTTGACTGATTTGGTCAAAGCATTTGCTGGGTTTTTCTTTGTGAACAAATTATAAACAACCTAAGTTAATTATGTCAAGGTGAAAAGGTTACACTAATGGTGTGAGAATAAGTATAATGTAAACTTAATATGGACTTTAATGTTTGATGCTAACATGTTTTATATTTGTTATCTTGTTCACTTTTTAATACTTTGCTTGTTAAATGACTAATTTTGATTTATGTTGTATAACACTTGGTACAACAAATGCTTGGCACTTTCATAGCCCATAATGTATGGTATAACCGACACCTGAGCTATGAAAGGAACTTGATTTGTTGTTAACATAAGTTATAATCATGAATGCTTGACAAGATTTACAAGTATCAGCATTAATCGAATAAGATAACTAATGTAATCATGTTAACAATCTATAATCAGATTGGAACCTCTTTTGTGTGTGATTTCCAATTGAATAACAAGAGTTTATACTATACTTGTTTGACATACCATTAGTGGATCCTTTAACCTTGACATTTGTTTTTATCATTGTTTAATCCTTACGTTAATCTTTCATCTCAAAGTTCTCATCAACTTCTTTATTATTATTATTATTATTACTATTACTACTACTACTACTACTACTAATATAAATAAGCATGTATTTTGAGTGTTTAAATGTGTGGAGCGATCAACATAATAAGAAGAGTTAGAGAGAGAATTATAATCTTGTGTATTGTACTTGAAAAAGTTCTGAATTTTGTGTTTGTTTATGTGTATTTATCTCTCGTAGAGGAGCACCACTAATAACCACAATCATCTACTCCACCCAACATTATCAATAGATTTTCTTTAGAAGCTTTACAGTTTTTTTTCTTTCAATATTCCTGAACTTTGTTTGCTTTTCTTTGGTGGGACTCTAGGTATTGCAAAGAAACAAATTTTCTCTTCAGTGATTCTATTGATGTCTCTTTCAACAATCATTACTTTTCTTTATCTTTTTATTCATAGATGTTTTGATTTTCTCATTGTTTTGGTTTATGGTTTGTGTTTTTATAAGGTAAAAGAAGGAATTCTTTTGGTTTCAAGAGAGGGCAAGGATATTGAAACGGTTGATGACCCAAAATCTTGATCCTGTTGTTTTTCCATCTGCTGCAACAAATAACATGTTATGTTATTACCAGGTTGTGTGGTCTAGAGAAAATTAATGTTTTTTTTTTCTCATATTTTGTGCGCTTTCCTTGTCTCTTAGGATTCTTTTGTTTCTTTTTTTCGCCTTCGATAGTTCAATCCCAGAAATATTTTGTATTGATTAACCTAACTGTGAAGCTGAGATACATATCAGTGCAGTTTAAAGAAACTGAGAACAGAAAAGTATTCAATTTGAGTACAGTTTGGGTAATAGTAATCGAATGGATACTTGAAACTGATCAAGTTGAATTTGGATATCTAACATTTATACTCATATTGGATATGAATATTAGTTTTGGATTTGGGCTCCAGTATGGATACTACTAAAATCTAACCTCTGTATATATACCCATTGTTATTTCTAATGACATGTCAACTTAGCTCCGTACTTATGACTAAAAATTATGTCAAGACTATTTGGAATAGGAAGGACAGTGGAATTCCAAGAGTATTTTGTTTGCCACCATGTATGATTGGTTAGACATAAATTTTAATATTAAGATTGAAATATGTAACTAAAAACTTAATTGTAAAATTCAAAGAAAACTTATTTTAACGTGAAAATTTGCTTTTTTGTTCTTGGATGAATACTTTAGTGTTACTTTAAATGCTAAAATCAAAATAATATTTTATAGTATGAATATATTTATAAATTTTATTAAATTAATGCAGAGAATTCAAAATGCGAAAAAAAAAAAGAACTTTGTTGACTTACTGCCCTCAAAAAAAGAAATTAAAAAAAAAAAGAACTATAGGGATAGAAGTGAAACATTGATAAATCTATAAAGGCAAAGATACCAAAATGCTAAAATAAATTCAATGTAGTATATATCGGGAAGAAAATAACAATATGCATTGGACAGTTAACAACGACATAAAAAGCCTACTGGATAGAAACTTACATGACTAAATGCTCTCAACAACCGGCAGTTTCAAATGATGGCAATATGCCTCTAGTGTCCAAAAAGATGTAACAAGAATAGTAGACTCTCCCTCTTTAATATAATTGTTCCAAGAGTTATTCACAATTTTGTCGCTCCTTTACAATTGCTACAATGGCAAGCAAAGGATCCTCTTTTATAATAATTTGCTTTATCATGGAATACATTAATTGAAGTTGCACCAGTTTGAGTGAATGAGAAATTTTGTGTCTTTAAGAAGTCTGTTTTAAAATAAAGTTGTGTTTTTTAAAACATCGGTTAAAATAATAATAATAATAATAAATTATTTGTAAAATAACAAATTAATTGTCATACTCTCTCTATATATAGACAATTCTAAGAATTATTCTACATTTAAAACAACTCCTGGCTATTTAAAACTCTACTCTTTTATTTTTCTCCTGTAAAATGTTTTTGTTCCTCTTACAAATGTTTGAGAGAGTTACATTTATACATTTAGTTTGCTACTTATTCTGGTTTGTGTTGCAGAGAATAAACAAGATCAGGGAAAACAAAGAAATGAAAAGAACTATCATTACAAGGGAGATTAAGTACACTGAAATCATAAAAAGAACAGAAAATACAAAGGGATTAAATACCTCTCACAACTTTAAGGATAGAGCACACCATTTAGAGTTCATCAAAATAATAAAAAGAAAAAACAAATACAAAGATCAAATATTTATCACAACTGAAGGATAGAGCACACCGTTTGTATGGCAGTGAATATAAGGACAAAAGTAGCAGCAATAACAGAGATGCCGGTCCATGGATTTTTGAAATATTCCTGCTTCAAAGTTGCCTTCCACTTGTGCCTACGCTTTCTGCAATATGAGTTCAGATCCCCGCAAACTCCCAAAAGAAAACGATCAGTGACAATATTTTCCTTGTCAAGATTGTGAAAAAGATATGACACTGCTTCGTTACTGCTTAGCATATTTTTCAAAATCTCATTCTGAACAAGTACTTCCACATCATTAGGAGCACGGACAAGACAATTCATGAAAGTAATATAGTCACTCACAAAAGTTTCCTCGGACAAATGATGGCATTGTTCAAAAGCCTGGAGATTTCTGAACAAGATTTCTGTACCGTAAATGTATTTCTAGTTGTGGAATTTTTAGAATCCCATTAGTAAATTGTATGCCACATAGTTTTCCATCTTCTGGAAGCTTAAACTTCACTCCACATTGATGAAGCTTTGATGCAGTGGGCACGCTTAAAATGGGTGAGAGTTCTACTGGATGGTGCAGGAAGGCTGGATTATGTGCTGTTGGGTACAAAGAGTTCCAGGGAAGTTTTATTAGATTCCATAGACGGCACAGAATGGTTGGATTGTGTGAAGCATCATCTCGATGGCGCCGGGAGGTTGGATTGTGTGCAGCACCTACCATTCTTTCTCGTCGTGGAATTTTTAGAATCCCAACATTTTCTGTTTGTTCTGCTGGACGCTTCTGGATGGATGCAATGGGTGCGCGCCCTCGTATCATTGATGTTTGTTCTGCCGGATGGATGGGTGCGCCTCTTGACATCGATGTTTGTTCCGCTGGACAGTACCTGTTCGTTGCAGTGGGCACGCTTAAAATGGGTGAGAGTTCTACTGGATGGCGCCGGGAGGTTGGATTGTGTGCAGCACCTAGCATTACAAACTCAGCATTTTCTGTTTGTTCTGCTGGACGCTGCTGGATGGATGCAATGGGTGCGCGCCCTCGTATCATTGATGTTTGTTCTGCCAGATGGAGTCTTGTGATGGGTGCGCCTCTTGGCATTGATGTTTGTTCCGCTGGACAGTCTCTATTCGTTGCAGTGGGCGAGCGAACTGAAGTGTGCTGCTGACACTTTCTTAGGAAGTCAACGAAATGAAGGATTTGAGAGGATTCGAATGTTTTCCAACTGTCCTTTTTTACCCATTCCGGGCATTGTCTTTCTAGTAACCCACCGGTAAGCTTAATAATGGTACGTTCCTCATCTACACAGGACAGGTTATACAACTCCTCGAGGATGAAGTATGGAAGCTGATTTTCAAGCAGGCACAAATCAAAATTTACGTCAGGTAACTTCCACGGACGAAAGAAGATCTGGTCACTACATCCATCCCCACTACAATCTGTGATTTCTATGGGGTCTTTAGAATCTTTGGAGTCCATGTGTTTCCACTTCACCAAGAACATAATAATGAAGACAGCATCCAGTAAGATCATTGTTGCGAAGTCTTTCCTGCTAAGACTAATGGTCTCTGCATAACAATCACGTCATTCTGTTTCATTCTCCTTGATAACATAAACCAAGTCCTCCACACTTACTAATAAATTCTGTTCGAGAAATTGTTGCAGGTACATTATTTTGTGGTCTTCCATAGCTTTTAGATTTTCCTTACCATGGTGAATTGGGCCTATAGAGACAACTCGAGGTTTATATGCCTCTGCATTTAACTTCCGTAATCTCTCGGGGACTCTATAGATACAACATGCCGCGGAGAAAGCCTTCTTGATATTCAATTGCTTCCTCAAAGTATTGGCTAACTCATTGATATCAAGTGGAACTTCATGGCTCTGATCCTTTATCCTTTGATCAGTACTTGATGTCCCGACAATTTCCATCTTATGATTGAACTGAGATAATCAACGGCGTCAGAACCAGCATGTATAATTAATCACTATTTGATAAAACAAACTGAAATACCATATTTAAGAAAAACAGTTTCAGGAAACAACCAAAATAATATTTGCAAGAAATCAAAATTGAACAATATTCTCTTAAATCATGTCTTTTCACATGTTCACCCGCTAAAAAAAAACAAAACAACCTGGTATCCAGTTCTATATGTTACCCAATTTTGGACTCGAAAATTTCTGTTTTCTGAGGGGTTTTTAGCGACAAGCTTTTCACTTATGTTTGATTATGGAATGCAAATTAGGGCGTCTTCTTGTAAAATAAAAGGGTAAACTTCAATAATTATCCTTATAGATTCATTAATGTTCTACTTCTACTCTTATAATTTCAATTTTCCCACTATTACCCTTGTAGTTTTCATAAAATTCCATCGATGTTACTCTAAAAGCAATTAACAAAGACATAAAAAGCCTGTTGGACAGAAACTTACATACCTGAAAGCTCTCGACAACCGGCAGTTTTAGAAGATCTTCTCGTTTCAAATGATGACAATCTACGTCTAGTGTCCAAAAAGATGCGCCGAGGATGGTAGCCTCTCCCTCGACACCCGACATGAGGTTGGTTGATTCATAATTGCAGAAATAACGTCGAATAATTATAGAGGGGACCAATCAACAACTTCCCCTTTTTTATTTAATTTAAAAAAAAAACACATTTTCATTGCAAGTTTTCTCTATTTGTTATTTTTTATCATCATAGTTATAGAGATTTATATATTCATCTTCATGTAATTATAATTGTTAGATTCGAATAAGATGGTGGAGTTAATAAATTAGCAACTAAACTTTATCTAGACTGGATTTTAATTTAAATTAATTTTATCATTTATCTAGATCAATTTAAACATTTAAATAATCTAATAGATTAATTCAGTGAATCAGTTGATCCGGGCAAACCTTGCCCAAAACCAAGAATTTTTTTAAGAAAATAAAATTCACAGCCAATAGATTTTGACCGGTACAGCACTAAATAAGCTATGGAGATCGAGGGGCTTAGCCATGTTGCCCGCTAAGGAAAATCCAGTGAGAAGAATATAAAAGAAAATGAGTGAGTTGCAAGTAACATTAAAAACAAAAAATGACAGAATCCATATACTTTCGAATGGATATGCAAAATGCATGCCATATTCATCTCAAGCCCAACCAAAAAAACAATACTATTTTAAAAGGTGGATTGTCATATATCTAATATATAAAACGAATAATACATTTTTTATTTTTATGTTTCAAAAATATTTTTTAAAAAAAGAATACTTTTTTTTTCTAATGACAAAATATCATTTTACGTTTTTTACATTAAAGAAACGCCAAAAATATATGTTTTGGTTTCTCTTCGTACCCATACCAGATTTTATTTTTTTTCAGAAGAATAAAGTTAGGAGGAGAAATTAACTCCTAATTTTTTACTTATTCTTAATTTTTTACATGAACAGATCGAAGGAGAATCTTGGTTAGCAATGTGAAGGTGACAATTGTTTGGTCCCCGGCCCTGTTATGATCTCTGGAGAGGTGAATAATGATGGAGGGCCCATCATTCAAGAGTGTGGAAATCGTTTTTACTGTTGTTGAAAAGGAAAACTCACGAATCATTAATTATTTATTGATTCAACCAATTTATGGATTGGCAGGAATAATAAATGTACGCATAAGAAAAATTTCAGTTTGTTATTATTTCATCGTGGCCCCTTAAATGAAACCACGTCAATTTGATAAATTCCGAGGTGATGTTTGTTTTTGTATTTTAAAAATATTTAAATTTTTATTTAAATTAATAATTTTAAATAATTTTAATGTATTATTATTAAAAATAATTTTTAAAAATAAAAATATATTATTTTAATATATTTTCAAATAAAAAATATTTTAAAAAATAAATATAACCACATTCTACTCTAGCTCTTTGTAGAATTCCTAACACCACAAACCCTCTTTTTAATTATTCAAAACTCTTCATGTTACACTTTTTTTTTATTTGTGATTTTCAGGTAATTTTTATAAAAAAAAACAATAGCTCTACTTTTTCTATTTTCTTACTCAATTGCAACTATTTTTCTTTTTTTTTCTTTTTTTACTGGCAGCTTATAAAAAAGGTTGTCATGGCCAATTAAAGAAATTTCTAAGCATTTATTTATTTGTGCTATTTTTTATTCATTAACTGTAATTAACTTGAAATTTTTTTTATAAACCTCCAAAAATTCTCAAACTTTAACCAAAATTAAAAATTATTTTAAAATACTCCACATAAAATATCAACTTAATATAATAACCAGATTGAAAGTTACCTTTTACAGCATAAAACTAGTGAATTTGTGATTTTTTATTAAAAATTCAAATTTTTTTATTTTATTCTTTCATAAATTATTTTACTTCAAGATTATTTTCTTATCTCAAATATCTTTATTTTATATTTTTACAATTTATTTTCTTCACAAACTTATTATTATTTCCTGCAATGTTGTTAATTTTAAAGTCGTGCTTAAAATACAACTCTTTCTTATTTTTTCTTTTTATTATAATTTCTTGGAATTGTTTTCTCATACTCAGTACATATTTATTTCAAATTTTTCATACAATATTAATTTAATTAATCGTTTATTTTTTTTTTTCATAAGGGTTTACAACAATCTAAATTAATATGCATTTAATTAACAATCATCAACCCTAACCTACAAGTTGCAAAACATTGAAAGGAACACTATCCTTAAAGGCTGAAGGACATAAATTTTCTTTGTGTATGTACTCAATTATATAAGGCCCACGCCTCTTCTTGAAACCTGATTTTACGCAGGGTTATTAATTGTAGAGGAAAGTGAAGGCAAATATTGTTTCTGACAATATTTGCCAAGAAGCAAAAGTATGATTTAATTTGCAGGCAAATATATTTTTAATTCATAATCCTGCCCATTATATCGATGAGACTCAGTTTCAATATTTAATAAAGCCTTGTTCGTTTACAGTTTCGTTGTTCTCATCCTTTGTAGAAGGATGTTTTGTCTTATCTGACAAATTATACAGCGATTGTTTTACAAATAGTTTTAAAACCCTATCATCAACCCAGTTTAGTAACCAAGTTATAGGTTAGATGGATAACCCAGTTTAGTAACCAAGTTATAGGTTAAATGGATTGATCCAAGTTTAAAAAAAAAAAAAAAAAAAAAAACAGACATATAATTTGACAAAGTCTGTGTCTGAAAGGGTTTTTAGTGGATTGGCAGGAATAATAAATATCTCATATATAAATGTACGCATAAGGAAAATTCAGTGTTGTTATTATTTCATTGTGGCCCCTTAAATGAAACCACATCAATTTGACAAGGTCCACGTCTGAAAAGGTTTAGTATATTCAAGCTATCTTTATTTTTGTGTTTAAAAAATATTTTTAAAAATATTTAAATTTTTTTTAAATTATATATTTTTTAATATTTTTATATGATTTTGATGTGTTAATATCAAGAATAATTTTTTTAAAAAAAAATTATTTTAATATATTTTTAACTAAAAAATACTTTAAAAAATAACAATAACCACACTCCTAAACTCTTTCTAACTCTTTATAATAAAAAAAAGTTTACAACAATCTCAATTAATATGCATTTAATTAAGAGTCAACAACCCTAACCTTCAAGTTTCAAAACATTTTTTAAATATTTGAAAGTTGGGGATTTTAGCCCAGATCATTGAGAAAAGAGAAGTTTGGCTAAGTGGGCTAACTGTTGCCATCTAAATTTAAAAGGCGCAATCTTTGCCCAGCTAAAAATCCTCAACCCTGCTTAAAATCGGGGTTCAAGTGGAGGCTGGGCCTTTTATCATTTAGCAGTATTGTTTCTGGCATGACTTTCCACGAAGCGAATAAAAAGAAAATAAAAGAAAGAAAATATTAGAAGAAAAGAAATATAAAGTAAAAGGAATAACCATCAAAATGAAGCACAAGGGAGATTGATAAAAGGAATAGCCATCAAAATCAAGGGTGTATCATGACCTTCCAGGGACAGTGATTCCCCGGATAGAGTGGCCTTTTTCAAATTCCCAAGTTGTATTGCCTTAGGAGGGAGATTAATTTTATTCAGCAACAAGATCTGGAAAACAAGAAATGAAGGGAGATTGATTTATGATTTTAAGTACATTGCAATCATAAAAAGAAATAAAACAAAGGGGTTAAATATTTATGGCAATTGAATGATAGAGCACACTGTTTGTATGACAGTGAGAATAAGGAGAAAAATAACGGCAAAAATAGAGATGCCAGTCCATGGATTGTTGAAGCAAACATGCTTCAAGGTTGCCATCCACTTGTACCAACGCTTTGTGCAATATAACTTCAGATCTTCGCCGACACCGAAAGAAAACCACCATCACTCACAACATTTTCTTGGTCAAGATTGTGAAGAAGCTTCGTCACTGTTTAGCATATTTTCCAAATTCCCTTTACGAGCAAGTACTTTCACATCATTAGGAGCCTTGACGAGGCAGCTGATGAAAGTAATATAGTTACTTACGAAAGTATCCATATCCGCCTTGACGAGGCAGCTGATGAAAGTAATATGGTTACTTACGAAAGTATCCATATCCAGATGGCATTGCTCAAAGGCCTGGAGATTTCTGAATAAGATTTCTGTTCGGTCATCTATTTTTAGTTGTGGAATTTCTAGAATCCCATTACTAAATGTTATGTCTAATAATGAATGAGCTTTTTTCAGGACGCTTAAACTTCACTCCAGATTGATGGAGCTCCGTCGCGGTGGGTGGGCTTGAAAAACCTTCTTTCTTTGGACGGTGCTTCTCTGTTGGCTCCTGACACTTTCTTAGGAGGTCAACGAAATGAAGGACTCCAGAGGAATCAATTATTTTCCAACTGTCATCTTTTACCCATTCAGACCATGGATCGTTTAAGAACCCACAGGTAAGCTCAAAAAGGGTACAATTCTCAGGGTTGGCAGCTGCACTGGATAGCTCAAACAACTTCTGGAGGATGAAGAATGGAAGCCGATTCTCAAGCAAGCTCATATCAAGCATTACGTCATCTAACTTAAATGGACGATAGAAAATGTGGTGACGACGTCCACTGTCCAAAAACCCTCTCGAGTTCAGTAAGACCATAATAATGAAGACAGCATCCAGTAAGATCATTGTTGCGAAGTCTTTCCTACTAAGACTAATGGTCTCTGCATAACAATCACGCAATGCTGTTTCATTCTCTTTGATAATGTTAATTAAATCCTCCACACTTACCTTGTTCTGTCCAAGAAATTGCTGCAGGTACATTATTCTGTGGTCTTCCATGGCTTTTAGATTTTCCTTACCATGGTGAATAGGGCCTATTGAGACTACTCGAGGTGTATATGCCTTTTCATTTAACTTCCGCAATCGTTCGGGAACTCTATAGATGCAGCATTCCGGGGAGAAAGCCTTCTTGATCTTCAATTTCTCCCTCAAAGAAATGGCTAACTCATTGATATCAAGTAAAACTTCATCGCTTTGATCCATTATGTGCTGATCAGTACTTGATGTTTCAACAGTTTCCATCCTGTAATTGAACTGATACAATCGCTGGTGTT